TCTCTCTCTCTCTCTCTCTCTCTCTCTCTCTCTCTCTCTCTCTCTCTCTCTCTCTCTCCCCTCTACCTACCCAAGCAACTGCTGCACACCCGCAAAATGCTGCGTGCCCACCAACTACCGCAAGCCCACCAACAACTGCGCGTGCAGTGGTAGGCTCACTCACTACCATTGGAGTTAGCACAAGAAGAAGAAGAAGAAGAAGAAGAAGAAGAAGGAGAAGAAGAAGAAGAAGAAGAAGAAGAAGAAGAAGAAGAAGAAGAAACTACTAGCTTACCGGTGGTTCTTAGGGATGGTGGCGATGACGACTCCGGGCTCGACGGAAGGAGAAGAAGAAGAAGAAGAAAGAAGAAACTACTACCGGTGGCTCTTAGGGATGGTGGCGATGACGACTCCGGGCTCGACGGGCTGGAGGAGCGACGGGGTGGAGGAGTGACGGGCTGGAGGCGACGGGGATGGCACGCCGGCAGTTCCGAGTGTCGAAGGTTTGAATGGGCAGGGAAGGGAACGGGTGGCAGGTTGGGGCCAGGAGGAGGGCTGAGGCCGCGGAGGGAAGAGGCAGGCCGATAGGAGGGGTAGGGCCGGTACTCCTACCCAAAACGTTTGAAAAAGTTGGCCTATCTGGGCCGCCGATCTCTCCAGATCGACGGTCCAGATAGGCCGCCCTTTTCAAATCCTTTGGGTGGGCCTACCGGACCCGGTTCGGACTTTTTTCAGGCCAGGCAACCTCCATTCAGGCCGTGGAGGCCCCCTGGGCCGAAAAAAAATTGAACCGACCCCCTTCTTCAATGCGCTATGGCCCACCGGGGGGGAGCCGGCCCGGTGGAGTGGTAGGACTGGCCCGGTTCCGGTGAGTGCATTTTCCAAAAGAAAATTTTGTCGTGTGAATTGAAAGACGGCCTGAGGAACTGCAGGGGAGGCCCCTCCCCGCGCCCTGTCTCTCTGAGGGTCCCCCAGCTGCGTGTCTGGGGGCTGCTAGGAAGCCTCCCGGCCAGCAGGGTGGCCCCCAGAGAACGACCATGGTTTGGGGGGGTGGGCCCTCTTTAGCAGGTCCCCCCTTGGTGGACTATCAGTGCCACGAGAGTTGGGCTGTTCCCCTTTTCTGATCTGATCTCCCCCCCTTCTTTGGATGTACAAAGATGCTTGCCGGTGCTAAGTAACCGGATTGCTGCTCCCCAGAATAGAAGGGGCTTTGTGTTTGTGCAAAAAAAAAAAAAAAAAAGAAGAAGAAGAAGAAGAAGAAGAAGAAGAAGAAGAAGAAAAGAAAAGAAAAGAAAAGAAAAAAGAAAAGAAAAAAGAAAAGAAATAACTCTCTTTTCTATGCCCACTGTGTCTGGTGGCAAGGAAGGTGCAGAGATCTGTTATCTAATAAGAAGTCCTGATGCTGTGGCGTGTCATGAGGGGATATTCTTTATCCGTTTCCATGGAGGGTGATGGCTGCACTGAATGCATTCAACATAGAGTCCTACCATCTGTGTGAGTGTGGCAATGTTGGCGATGTGATTTCATCTTATTTGCAATGCAATCAAAATGGAATCTACCTGCTGATTGCTGATGGACATCAAATGCCCAGAGTGGCTGGGGCGTTTGGTCTTCTGGGTGTGCATGCCATGCTAGCAGTTGTGAACCGACAACCAGAAGGGTGTGGACACCCATTCGTGAAAAACTGCTGGTGATGCACGCCTGCCTTGGTTGTTCCCGCCAGTCAGCCAGCTGACAGGTCGGTAGTGTGTTGGGTGCGCTGTCACCCAAATTCATGTTTTCGGTTGTTTGGTCAGACACGTGCTTCGCCTGGATTTCCTTTTCCAGGGACGTTGGGCCTCACCCCGCCCTGTTCAGATTGTTCATTTGGTATGTCTATGTTGGACAAATACTGCCACCAGCTTCTCAGATTGGCCAGTAGTGGAGTGAGGCCCTTGCTGCGGGTAATGGGCAGCGGGCAGAGTAATGCTAACAAGCCAGGAAATAAGTTCAAATAACGCCTTTGTGCCGCTTCCCTTCAGGTCCTTTTCTACCCAGTGTTGTTGCGAAGATACTCTGATGAATGGGCGAGGGAAGAATGTTATGTGCCTGATTGAAAATGAATCCAGCATGGCATTCACACATTCCGATACGCATGCGCAATGACAAGTAGACTTGGGAGAGAGCAATCCACACCAAACCAGATGATCAGAAAACACAGCAGAAACTCACAAATCCGGAAACAGAATCGATTTCAATCAATTCTTACTGATACCGTTCTCCCCAACTCAATCAGCAGCAGCACGAAATTGCCAGGATCCCAACCACGGTACAACACCCACAAACCAATTATTTACAAGGTTCATCAACAAGGGAGACTTCTTCTTCCTCCCAACCTGGAGCTCTTAGCTATGGCGTACAACCTTCTTGCCCCTTTGCCATTGCCCTCCTCATGCACACACGCACGCGTGCACACACGCATAGAGTTGTGCATAGCGGACATGGCAACACATAACACCGGCTTGCTAAGCTCTCCGTTCAGGTGGATCGATGCAGCTAGGGTCGGTACTGTACTGGCGGTCATGCCAGCAGGKATCCATGGCTGAGCGGGCGTGTTGAGCGGGTTTTATGGCTGTGAAAAACTAGTTTCTCAGACTTAGTGCCATTCTTGTCAGGGGTTTGGAACTTTGGACCGACATTCTTCTAAGATTGCAGGGTTTGTGTGAGTAAAGTCAGCCACTTTTCTCAGGGGCATCACTAACTCTGGAGGACGTGGCGAGTCCTTACTCATCAGTCAAATACATGCTGGGCTGACTGTCGGGGTTTGATCTCCTGATGAGATACTGTGGCAAACCTGCAGTTGTTTCACTTTTTTTCTTCACATTTTGCTTTCAGCTGCTACCTGTAGGCCCAAATATTTTCCGCTTCCGTGCCATACCGGCCGGTCGGCCAAATTTTCCATTGTCAGGGGCCTGGTGGTTTCTTGCAGGTGTATTCGTCTACGTCTTTATTTCTGCATATGTTTTGAGCTGTCAACTTCAAATTTTGATTGTGAAACATTTTTCTGGCATGTTTAACTTCCCTCCACGACCACTATTTTGTTAAATTGAGGTTTCTGGCTTCGCGCAGGTTTTCACCTACGCCGTACCCCTGCCCATGTATGACTATATGCAAAATCTACTTGTACCTAAGTATGCAGAATGCAACACTGGTTTGAAGTTTGAACTTATGATCTGTTCGTAGACATTAAAATGTGCAACCTGTTCAGCCACATGGGCCAACTACATTTTGTTGATCTTTGTTCTTTCTTGCTTCTTGGTTGATGAATGATTGCTGTGTAAGTGCTCTTCAAAGAATTCAATTTCTCTTTGATTGCTGCTCTTCAAAAGTTGCTCTTCAAACGCTCTGCAGGTTCTCTCAAGTCGGTAACCATGGTTTATTGAATTTTGGTCAAACCTTGTGCGTGTTCGTTGTTGAGGGCAGGTTTCGTCAGGACTGGGCACGCATCATCAGCGGGATTGAGGAGGCTGTCTATGGTAAGGTAACCATTCTGAGATCTCAGAGTGCACCTGTTGGTATTGTCCTCCTGTGTTTGTAGTCTAATTGATGCGAAATCCCTTTTTCTTTACATTTTTTATTTTATTTTTTGCTCAAGAGCAAAGAAACTGCCAGAAAGCTATTGAATCATATACTACTAGCTTTGCAACCCCCCCCCTTTCGACTCTCTGGTTGTCTCCTGGCAATTTTCTTCGCTCTGGGTTGTGCTTATCCAGTTTCCGTATCCAGTGCAGGCATTGTGGTCCTTTGCGCTAGGAATGGGAATGGGAACGGGAATGGGAACGGGAACGGGAATGGGAATGGGAATGGGAAATGCGCATTGTGGTTTGAGGATGCAGGTTCAAAACTCAGTGGTCTCACGCACGTCCGCTGTTAGGCGCTTTCATAGCTTCCAGCCATTCGCACACCCCCCTTGGGATGACGCGTGATAAGTTTATACAGACAGTGCCCGCACACTGCCCAAGGGGTCCTCGTCCATGGTTGTTGTATGCTGGAATGGGCATGGGGGAGGGCTGTTCGGGGTTTGGTTTGCTCATTGTTCCGATGATATCAGGTCTCTTCTGGTTGTCACTCCATAAGGGGAGAGAGGGGAGGGAGGGGGGGGGGAGGGGAGGTCCAGAGGGCACATATATGAACTTGTGGTGTGCATTCAGGAGTTAGTTGGTCGCTTGGGGTAATACACAGGGCTATCTTGTCTGTGGAAGTCCTTTGAGTCGCAGATATGGTCGGACCTATAGACGGACCCTGCTAGAATTGAAAGGACTGCGCATAGTAGAATTGTACATGGTATTGAATGAGCATTGAAGAACCCTCATTCGAACCCTGCTTGAACCTTGCTGGCACATAGTACATAGTAAGTACTTGGCTGTAGTATAGTATGCGGGCCCAGATAACTCTAGGTCTGCTACTCCCTGCCTCCCTAGGGAGGTCTCTGTCTAGACCTGTGGGGACCATGGGGTTTCCCGGTTAGAGGGGGGGCTTCATAGTGGAGGGGTGTGGCACAGTGGGTAGTATGTCTAGGTGTGTTCCCCCTCGTGAGTGTCGCAAACAACGGGGGTAAAAAGGCTGTCTCATATCTGGGGTGTGTGGGGGGGTAGGGGTACAGGAACCTTATGGTAGGTAGGGCTGAATGGTTCGGGTTGCTTAATGGGTAGCTCACCGCTCGAGGGGAGTAGTTGACTCACATACAAAGCGGCCTCATGGGCCACCTGCGGAGACCGCATGGGTGGGTGGGAAATCGCATCATAGGTAGAAATACTACCCGGGGTAGTCCAAGTAGTTAGAGTCTGCCTGATGACCAGCAGGTGTGAGTCGATGCCTGTCTCATGGATTAGGACCACCTGGCTGGCTGGTCGTCTCTAGGCAGTGTATAGACATTGGGGTACTCTCATAGCCTGATCATCAGTGTCCTCGAGCCAACCAGACACCAACCAGGGGAGGCTATGAGATGGGTATAGGGGCTGGAGGGGCTAGTAGAGAGGACGCCGATAAAGTGTAGCTCGTGTAGGACATGTACTGAGCCTGAATTTGTTTCGAACTTAGCACACTGAATAGTAAAATGCCAAGTAGAACGAATTCACGCATTCTGATTTTTCTTTCTTCTTTGTCCAGACTCTAAAAGCCTGCATTGCTCCCGTAAAACATAAATCTCGAGTTTATGAAAATGAGCGAAGCGATCACTTCGAAAAACAAGTGATGGAGTGTTTTTTTCTAGTGCCTTTTCTTTTGATCACTTGGGATACACTCATTTCTCCCTCGTGAGTAGTGGATAGGATAGGTGGATCCGGGGGGGTGTACTGTTCAATAATAGGAGGGAGGTATGCCCTCTACGCCTCTCCGAGGGGGGATCGGCTAGGGATCTGCTAAGTCAATGGTTGGGGGACAAAGCTGCTTAGAGTGGGCCCGCAATAGATCCGGTTGGAGGTTGGATCTGTGGGGACAGAATCCGATCTCCGGTGGCAAGCTGTAGGTGTGGAAGGGACAAGACTTGCAATAGGCCTGAGGGCTCTAAGCCCGTGGAGGACTTTGTCTAGGAAGGTCCAGAGGGCCAAGTGAGTCATTCCGAACTTCGAGTGACTGAACCCCGGAGAGTATTCCCGCACCTGATACCCTGCCTCTACAACAACCTGGGCGTTTAAAATAAAAAAGAAGAAAAAAAAGAAACTGCTGAAGAGATCAGAAAGAGACAAAAAAGGATAAAATTGGAAAACTTGGAAAACTTGTGCAGGCTGGGGAAATGTCCTTTAAGAACAGGATACAATGACAGAGGGGAATGGATGAGATGGGGAAACTTAGAGATCGCCAGGGGGGAGAAATAGGGGGGTAAGAACCAAGGTAAGGGTAGGATATCTCTGTAAGAGTAGAAGGGAGAAGCCAGGGAGGAGGGGATCAGAAGCATTAGCGGGTGTTGGGGGTTTGGACTTCTTCATAGGAACAAATATGTTTAGGTGAGGGCTTTGCGGCCTGTGAGGCTGCTAGAACGACCCTCCCGAGGACTTGCCTCTCCTAGAGTCCTCCTGCTGAGAGACTGGGTGCTGCCAGTAAGCTTCCCGGGCAGCAGAAGCCCCCTAGGAAAGCAATGGTCGGGGGGGGGAGGGATCGGTTCGTAGCAGCCCCCGCCCTTGAGTAGGTGACTCGCACTGCAAGGGCTAGGCTGACTCTTTTTCAACTCTGTTCTTTTTGCTCTTTCTCTTTGTACTCATGCTTGCCAGTGATAAGCAACCGGACTGAACCCCCCCCCCCAGAATAGAAGGGGGTTGGGTGTTTTGGTGGGAAAAAAAAGAAAAAAAAAAAAACTGCTGGTTTTGGGAACTGGGTATGCCCTCAAGCCTTATCAGAAAAGGGGAACTGGGAGACTTGCTGACCCACTGCCAAAAAACTTATGGGGATTTGGTTGCCGGGACTGCGTGTAGCCCATGACTGCACTGTCATATGGACATAATTTTTGCAGACCTGGGTTGGAGTAGTCTGTAAGTACTCTGTTTACGGGGGAGATGCCGGAACTTCTGTGAACTCCATTGTATCTGGGATGACTATCTTTTGAAATGAAGGGTGCTGAATTCGTGTATACCCCGTGTCGCCTCTGTGAGTGACTGCCTCTCTCTAGCTGGTTTGTCTTGCTGGGTGAGCCTGGAGGATTTCGTGGCTGACAGTTTCAGTGTTGATCAGATGTCCTGTGCTGTAGCTCTATGGCCTGCCAGTCTCGTTCTGGCACCTGCTGTTTGAACTTTGAACCTTAGGTTTATGATGATGGGATGGAATTGCAAGGATTCATTCATTGTTGTTTACACAATGACAATTTTGGTGGAAATTTGTAAGGCATTGTTGCATAGTTCCAGTCCCATTGGGTCAGTTGTGACCGACAGAATGCGTACAGGGTGTGTGCACTGGCCAAATCAGACTTCTTCACCACTGATAACTTTGGAAGGCAAAAGTGCAAAAGGCTCTCCTCGTAAAAGGCAAAAGTGAAAAGGGATAGTCAATTCAGTAGCAACTTGGTTTACAGGGCAAGGGTTAAATAAAAAGAAAAAGGAAAAGGGCAAGGGTGAAGGGAAAAACAAAAGAAAAGAAAAAAAAGAGAAGGACAAGAGCGACCGAGGTTATGGAACTACCGCGTGGAGAAGTGTGAGCGGGTCAATGTCGTGTATTTTGACTTGCTGTTACTGATGGGAAAGGAAAGACTGGCAGTTCCCAGAACAGAAGTGAAAGAAAGGAAAAGGACTGGCGAGGACTGGCAGTTCCCAGAACAGGAAGTGAAAGACCATCACTTGAAGAGGTGAGAAATAAAAGCATAGTGAGATGTGAAACTACCATTCAGATCCTTGGGGATAATGGCGGCAAATACAAATAAGTATTATGGATTAAGGTAGGAAGATTTTCATGACCGGCCGGTCTGGGCCGGCTGGTCACCCGGTCATGGTGAAAAAAAATAAATAAATAATAAAAGTTGTAAAACCTGGCGGCAGGGGTTTTCCACGGTCTCCGAGAGGACCCCAAATCTGGGCTGTTTTCTTTTTTTGAGTGTTGGCTGTAAGGGGGGGGAAGGAGAGTATAAATGAATTTTAAAGGGGCAAAAGGGGTTTAAAGGGGGGTGCCTTAGTGTGATTTGGTTATTTTCTTTTTTATCTTCACTTCCGTGAGGAATTCTGATGTGACCCTCAGCCAAAAGTTGTTTGTATTGCAATTCTACACAACATTTTTGTTTTCAGATTTTTTTTTTTGTGTTGGGGCTGCCTGGGCCCATGCCCGGGGGTCATGCCTGGCCTGTCACCCGGTCGCCAAACCGGGTGTGACGTTGGGACCCAGGCGCCTGGGATATCTCCCAAGGGATTCAGTGAAAACTGTGAAATATTTAACATTTTCAATGGTTCATTCTCTTTTGAAAGGATTCCACGCATCTCAGAGTCCCGGTCGCAGGTCCGAGTCCCAATATCCCATGTAGTATGTACCATAACCCCAACTCGTAGGACCGCACTGCAAGTTGGTAGGAGTTTAGGTCTAGGCTGTAGAATAAGTCAGCTCACGCTGATTATGTCCCTGCACGTAATACACACCGCCCATTGCTCATACCAATTGAGTGGTCTGGTGAAGTCTCTGGATTGCGGTGATCTCGGCGGTTTGCCGCTGGGGGTGCTGTGAGACCTTATGATTTAGAGGAAGGGGAGACGTAACAAGGTTTCTGTAGGTGAACCTGCAGAAGGATCATTGAAAAAAAAAAAAGTAAAAAAAGTTGGCAGGTCTGTTGGAACGTACAGTAGGTAAGTCGCTAGGAACTGGTAGGCCCTGTCAGTCTGTTACAGCTCAGTCCCAGGAAAGTCCAGCAGCCACAAGAAAAGGTACTGGCACCGGGAAGTCCAAACATGGGAACTGCAGCAAGCACATAAATCTCGATTCAGCCAAACCTTAAACTGATAGGACCTGCCAGTCTGTTGCAGCTGTCCCAGGAAAGTCCAGCAGCCGCAAGGAAAAGGTACCGGCACCGGGAAGTCCAAGCTTGGGAGCTGCAGCACGTGCAAAAATCTCGATGCAGCCAAACCTCAACACAATTTCCATTGTGCATGTTGCAGAAGCGCGGCTGCGGGCTTGTGTGCTCAAGCATAGTGGTGGTAGTCCACAGCGTTGGGCACCATGGCTAGTAGTCGAGAGTGTATGAATCGAAGACATTCAGAGAGGGAAGTGAGGCCCGTTAGAGTAGAGTAGGTGACAGCAACAGAGAGAGGGAGAGACTTACCCGAGTTGGGACTTGGCGGCCATAGCCGCATGTGTGTACATACATTAGACTTGTTGTATAACACCTGAATCTTCGAGTGAACCCCAAGGTGTTCTCATTTTCTGGTGGGGTGTGTGTCTCGCATGCAAAGCTTTGTGTGATGAAGCGTGAAGTTGTGACGTTGTGCCAAGCAGAGTGAAATCATGGGAGCATTGCACTTTTAGGTGTTTGGGGAAATCTGTTGTAAGGCATTAGCTGTAAGTTCTCTTTCTTAGTTGCAGGCAGCGAAGTCATGCATCTGGAATCTGGGGCTCAAGAGAACGCATCACATCATTCACATGCAATTGACAAACAACTGAGGATTAGTGTATGCATGGTGAGAACTGACAGATGGGGGAAAGAATGAAAAGAAGCCCTTTACCGTCTGGATTTGGAGAGTTTCGGACCCGTGTATCGAGTCACATTGACCTCTCGTATGCATGTTGTTCCTCTTATTCTGGGGAAATTACCCCCTTGGGTTTCACATCTGTGATCCGTTTGCCTTGAACAGGGTGGATTGCGTTGAACTACATGATGAGGACGATTGAAAGACCCGAGACACGCTATGTTTTGGGTGCCCTTGACCTTGGTAAGTGGTTATGCTGTCAAGGAATCAGCTCCATAAATTACGGAAAAGAAATCCGAAAAATCAAGGAAAACAAAATGCACTGTAAAATTGTGTGAAATCTATATGATACTTTGGCCAATCCGAAACTTTTTTTTTATTTTTTTTTCCACCATTTCATTTTTCGTTGGTCACATTTGCTTGCGGAAAACAGTAAAATAGTTCTTAAGAAACAATAATTCCTTCACAATCATCCTGCTCAGTGTAATCTGAGATTGCAAGTTAAAAACGTCCCTCACAACCAGCCCACTGTGCAGTCTTAAATGGCAAAATTGCAAAATCGAGATTAAATTGTAGATTAAATTGCAGATTAAATTGCAAATTGCAGATTCCAGCAGCCAACTATCCAAACATCCTCTGGTATGGCCAGCACGACGACACTGAACATCACACTGCCCACATCTGGACGTTTGGGTGCCTGGAACGAGACCATGGCGCAGCTACATTAGTTGTCGACCACCCATTGCAGCATGTCCTTAACTACATCTTCACTGCTGATTTATTGAGCTCTGATTCTTTTTTTTTTGTTTGTTTTACTTCCAGGGCACGTCAAACTGTTGTTTCAAGTTTCAACCTCTGTTAAGGCTTTTCATAATTCCTGTTTCCCTTGTTTTCATATCATCTGTGGCCCGATGGCTCCCCACTCACGTATTCAGAAGATTAGAACAGATGCTACTGAAAGGATTCACAATTTCACACGCCTAAGAAGTCCGTGCCCCGTATCGCGCCCCATTTTCATTTCTATCATAGGGCCGAACATAGAACTTTCGGGTCAACACTCGACGGGACAAAATAGAGATCGGATCGGATCAGGCCTGTAGGAACAGTAGAAGTCCCTGGTAGTCACTAAGCAGAAATACACCACATGTGAGTCCTGGTGAAGTCGCACATCAGTCCCAGGAAGGGCCTAGGAAGGTTCAAAGCTTTGTTGGGCACGGCAATGCCTGACAGGACCGAAGACAAGCTATGAGGTAGGTACCTGCAGGCACAAAAGAGCTCGGTGCTGCTAGGGTGGGAGGAGGGCCAGTTCTTCACGGTTCTATGCAGAGGCACATCCGCCAAATCCATTGCTCTTTTGAGAATGCCCTTCGACCCCTCTTTCTCCTCTTCCATGGTTCCTCTCTCTCAATTTGTTGTCTTCTCCCTTTTTTGTTTCAACCCTTCTTATCGTCTTTTCTCCGACCTTTTGCACTCTCTTGTGTTTCCTCCTTATGTGTGTCACTCTATCCTTGTGAGTTTGTTTATTGTTACAGAACAGAGGTCACGCTCTTCAGCTTGATGCTGATCTCCCCCCCCTACAGCCAGAGGATTGTAGTTATACCAGGGAAAGAGGCTTTACCATTGCTGTCGTACAAGTAACAATGAGGGACCGCCAACTTGAACTACACAATGCTCGAGCCATCCCACATCTCTACCTGCATTGTGCACGGACCTGGGCCATTACATGGCCATTGTACATACCTCTGACCACTGGGAGTTGTGGCACAACGGCATCATGGTCCATTCCATGACTGATGTTACTGATTTCTTACATAATGATGCTGTTTTCTTGCCACACCAAACTGTCCGCAATCTCTTGTATGTCGAATTCCTCTGGCCCCATGCTGCAGCAGGACAATGTACCAACACACTGCTACCTTCTCCTTTGCACAGCTACAGACGCTGTTACACTCGGCTCTAGCCGCCATCGTCTCTGTCACACATGGTTTCTACATCCATGTGTGTAGAGGACTGTCCCTTCGTTCTTCTGTGTGTGTGTGTGTGTGTGTGTGTGTGTGTGTGTGTGTGTGTGTGCGTGTGTGTGTGCGTGTGTGTGTGTGTGTGTGTGTGTGTGTGTGCTGTCTCTTATACACATCTAGATGTGTATAAGATACCACTCTCTCTCTCTCTCTCTCTCTCTCTCTCTCTCTCTCTCTCTCTCTCTCTCTCTTGCTCTTGCTCTGTCTTTCTCTCGCTCCCTCCCTCTCTCTCTCTCTCCTCTTGTCTTGTGACCATTGACCGAGAGGTTGGTTCACATGGCTAATGACACATACTTCACTCTCTCCGAGAGTTTAGGGTTTAGTGCATAGCTACGCCGGACCGGACACCGGACCGAATCCGGACCCCGGACCCCGGACCTCCCGGGCCCTTCCGGACTTCCGGAAACCCGGAATATTCCGGAATATCCGGACCGGTCCGGATCCCATGTCCGGATTGCGGTCCGGATCCCTTATATTGTCCGGGGAAAAAATAAAAAAACCGCCTGTACTCCTCCTCCTCGTCATGAACTTTGCCTCTTGTCTCGTCCTCCTATAGTTTTCCCCCTACTCCTCCCCCTCCTCCTTGTCGTAGCTGTGGTGTAAGGGGTGTGTGTGTATACAGGGCCTAGCTACGCCATGCGCAAATTAGTGATGTGG